CAGGTTAGGTAGTCTGTAAGCCAATGTTAGTCGGCCCATAATGTCTAGGCATAATAGAGGGCTCTTATCTGCATTGCAACCCCATTTGTTAAACTACAAAATCTCAATGTACTAATTGCCCAAAAGATAAATAAATTAATAAAAATAAAGGGGACTGATAATTAGGTTGTGAGGTACACAGTTTTGACTAACCCTTCAACATCCAGACCCTTGTCTGAAGCTTGTCTGCTTGTTCAAGATTTAAAAAAAAAATTTCTTATGAAATTGGTAGAGAGACTTCTTCTGATGGTAATTAAAATGATAATAAGTACAAAATTTTATGGGAAATTGGCAAAATTTCACTTTCAAAATTTTTTCTGTTTCAGCAATATTTATGCATTGGTGATCTCTGCCCACTTTGAGTCCTACATTAGGCCATTTGGATTTGCTCCAGTCGACCATATTCTGCCATTTCATAGTATGTTTTCCACTTTATCGATTGAGCACAAGATATTCACTCGACTATTTCAACTAACCAGTTAAGAAGTGATCAGATAAACTGGTTAATTTTGGCCAGTGGCACACTAATTATAAATGAATCAAAGCAGGCATTCTTGTTACTAACAATTACATTTCCCTTATTCATTAGTTATGGTCCAGGCTTTACACATGTATTACCAGATGGCTATGAAACAGAACCTGTAACTGTTTTGCAGATGGTTTAAGATTGCTGGTTTCTTTTTGTCTGTCTCATAAACACGCTAGATTAACAGGGATATACTTGTACTCCTACTTACACTTTGGTTCACACTTCAAAGACATGCTCATGCATATATATATATATATACATACATCTAGGTTTTTTCTCCTTTTTCCTAATAGCTTTGTTCTTATATTTCTTCTTTGTCCATTGGAAGTGGGAAAAGATCTTTGTACTCCGTAAGCCATGCGTGTGTTTGAGGCGACTAAATGCGGAGGGAGCAATTGGGCTAGTAAACCCCTTCTCCTGTAGACAATTTACTAAAAAAAGCGAAGAAAGAAATACTTAGAAAAAACTGGGATCGCTTGAATTGTGCGTGGGGAATGTAGTGCGGAATGACAAGAAACAGATGATTGACTGATGTTATGAATGAAAAAGAGTTGGATGTCCCTGGCCCTAAGCGAATCAAAGCTGAAGGGAGTAGTGAGTTTCGGTGATGGGGGGAAATAAATGGGTTTAAAATCTGGAGTATTTGAGCAGAGTTAGAGCAACAGGTGGGGGTAGCAGTAATGTTAGGGATCAGTTATGGAAGGAGAAAAGAGAGAATATGGAATGTGAAATTCAAGAATTAATGGGCTTAAAGTAAAGTTGGATGCGAAAATGTGGGTCTTTTAAGCGTGTTTGCACTTGGAGAAGAAGAGGAATGTAGAGGAAGAGAGTGATTTTGGGAGATGTTAATATGAATGTATAGGAGCCTTTGATCAAGTGAGAGAGTAATTGTGGTAGGGGACCTGAATGCTAAGTAGGAGGAAACCTTTTAGAGAGGGTGTGTGGTAGGTAAAGTTTGGAGTCGCCAGGTGTAAATGATATTGGGAGCCCTTGATTGTCACTTTGTACAGAAAAGGGGGTTTAGTTATAGGTAATACATATTTAAAGAAGAAAATGAGGATAAATAAGTATTCAAGATATGATGTTAGGGCCGGATATGACAGTTTGTTGGTTGGATTATGTATTGTGTAGATAAAAGACTGTTGAGTGATCTTCAGGATTGTACATGTTTATAGAGGCGGCCACAGATTATATCGATCACTTTCTAGTTGTAGCTACACTGTGAGTTAATCCCTAAGGTAGATGGGATACAAGGAAAATAGAAGCATCATGGGAAGAGAGAGGTGTAGGATTTATAAACTATAAAGAGGAAGGCAGTTAGGGTAATATATAAACAGCTTTGGAGCATATATGGTGTTAATGAGAGCATTGGCAATGGGGTCGAAGTGGTATGGGGTTAGGTTTTTAAAAACTGTTAGTGTTAGTGTTCAGCAGAAGTTTGTAGGTTACAGGAAAGTGGGTCAGGGGAGGAAGAGGAGCGATGATGATGTAAGAGAGTAGTAGGGGAGAAAAAGTTAGCATCATGAGAAATTTTTACAAAGTTAGATAGTGATGCAATGGAGTGGAAGAGTATTGGAAGAAAAAGCAGAGTGGTGAAGCATTGTAAAGAGAGCAATGTGGAGAGTGGGTGAGGAGATGTATCACAAATTTTGTTGAGAATAAGAAAAAGTTTTGGAGGTGAGGATTAAGCAAGTGTAAAGGAAGAATCCTCGAGAACAAAATGGAGATTTGTCATTTTTATAAAATAGGAGAGGAGTGTTATTAAATGGAGAGTTAGAGGTATTGGGAAGATGGAGAGGAATTTTTTGATGGAATTGTTAAAACTGTTGTTGAAGATAGGGGAAGCTGTTGATTTCGCGTATGTCGGCAAGGAAGGTATAACATCTTGTATGGAGTGTGGAAGGTAGACAGTTGTGAGTGTGGGAAAGTTTCGTGAGCCAAGCTGGTTAAAATGAAGGGGGATATGTGACAGCTGGGATTTGATCGGATTAGATAGAAATGTTTAAAAAGCAGGTGGGGATATAGTTTTTGGAGTGTGTTGGTGACAATGTATTTGGGTAGAATGTATTTATGGGAAATAAGAGGGGCGTATGGGTACCTAGGGATTGCAGGAGCCATTTTGCAGAGAGCATGCTTAGTTCCTTTCGTTTAGAGGCAAAGGGGTCAAAAGAAGAGTGCAGAATTATAGGGAGATAGATGTCTGTTTGAGTATACCTGGTAATAGAGTAAATTATGGTAGAGTTATTATATTGAAAGAATTAGAGTAAGGATACCAGAGGAATAGGAATAGCAGATGAAACAAGGAGGCTTTAGGAAAGGTAGGGGGAGTGTGTGGACCAGGGTGTTTTACAGTGAAACATATAAGTGAACAGTATTTAGATAGGCTCTTCCTAAAGAGGTCTTTGTCGGCATTTAATGGATTTGGAGAAAAGCATATGACAGGGTGGGATAGGGGGGGCAATTTGGCAGATGTTGCAGGTGTATGGTGTAGGGTGTAGCGAAGCTAACTGATAAGACAGTGAAGAGTTTTTTACGAGGATGTGAGGCTCAAGTTAGAGTATGTAGGAAGAGGGAAAATTATTTTCCCAGTATAAGTAGGCCTTAGACAAGGATGTGTGTGATTTCACCGTGTAGTTTAATATATTTATGATGGGGTTGTAAGAGAAGTAATCGCGAGGGTCTTGGCAGTAATAGGCAGTGGAGTTAAAATATAAAGAATCACACATAAAGTGGGAGGTTGTCACAGCTGTCTTTGCTGATGCTACACTTGTGCTCTTAGGAGATTCTTGAGAGAAGTTGCAGAGATTGGTGGATGAATTTGGCCTAGGGTATGCAAAAGAGATAAATTAAAGTGCAATACAGGAAAGAGTAAGGTTTGAAGGATAAAAAGATTGGTGAGATGAAAGATTGGATTTCATGATTGGAGGGAGAGATTAGGGAGGAGGTGAATGGTATTCAGATATTTGGGAGTGGTCGTGTCAGCGGATGGGTCTATGAAAGATGGAGGTGAATCATAGAATGTGATGAGGGGAGAAAAGGGTGAGTGGTTGCAACTTTGGAGTCTGTGGAGACATAGAAACTTTGTCATTGAGGGCAAAAGAGGGGAATGTATGAGAGTAATAGTTTTACCAACGGCTCTGATAGGGTGTGAAGCATGGGTGTTGAATGTCTGCAGCGAGGAGAGGACTGGAGGCAGTGGAGATGTCATGTCTGAGGGCAATAGTGCTGGTGTGATGGAGTGAATGACGGTGAAAGTTTTTCTTTTTAGCGGCTCCACCTGCCTTGGTGGCGATTCGGCCAGTGTGATATAATAAAAAAAATAAATATAATAATAGCACATATTTGTGAACGCATATTTGACCCACCACTTCAATGTGTATTGGAAACATAATGTGATTGTTTACTCTTGAACATCGCATAAAAAATCGAACATTTCCTACTTTGAGTCAATTTCAAGCTATTTTCATTCCTAAAATTTAATCAAAATCATATCTGTTTTCTGTTATATATTTCCTTTGTAAATGAGACCAAAAAATAGAGAATAAACCATAATAAACCAAATGAAAAATACACGCGGAGTTGCTGTTTTAATACCAATATAGTTGCATATTTTTTACCTCATTGCACTGCATGCTACAGTGTTCTTTTATATATGGTGCTTGCTCTTTACAACATCAAACCATTTTCTCATATCTAGGACCAAAATTTAGTGCTCACAGCTGATCTGGTGAGCTGAGCTCGTCACCATACTTATGCTCAGCCAGTGCAATGGCTAGAGTGCAAGTATTGTATCTAAACTGGGTAATCAGGGAAGCACAGGAATTCAGGCCTCAGACAGGCTAACAAGACTATAAGGGTATAAATCTGGAGAGATACTGTAAATGTTTAATTAATTTGGTTATTTATTGTTAAGATAATAAGATCGGTTTAATTCTATTGTTAAGATATGCTAACTGCATAATCCAGTGTCATTAAAATTATTAAAAAAGGAGGGAAAAACTTTTTGACAAGGATCAGGTCAGTGCCTCTTCAGATGGAAGGAGCAAAGATGATAAACTTCCTCTAAGGTCACATAAAGAACCTGACCTTTAATTAAGACTACAGATTTACAAAGGTGAAATTAATTCAAACAGAGGAGCAGTGGTATTCTCCCAAGAGATAACACTTGGATGACAGGTTCACTTGGACGTACCAGGTTTTAATTATATGAAAATGCTTGTCTGTTCATTCTGACTGAGAAGTTCATGTGATATGACAATGATATGGTAGTAGTGAATTTTAACATGCGCTTTACATCATGGTGATTTGTCCAGGTGCTTATAAATATTTTTTATTCAATTATTTTACATGAATTTGGATTAGGGATGCTAGATTACATTGAATAATATATAATATTGTTTGGCTGTAAGTTTGACCACAAATAATTTCACAGGTAGAGAATGGATGATTCTTAGCTCAGTCTTTACGAGTACAGAGAAAAGAGTAATAAAGGATACCAATTCTAGCGGCATTGCTGAAGCCCAACGCACAGTTGCCTCGCAAAGCTCGCTGCCCTGGAAGGAGTTCTCAGAAGCTAAGGAAGCAACAAATGTTATGTTGACTTGTAGTTACTGCAGATTTTTTTTTCTATTATTTCCACACTGCGCCGATTCCCACCCAAGGCAGGGTGGCCCGAAAAAGAAAAACTTTACACCATCCTTTCACTCCATCACTGTCATTGCCAGGAAGGGGGCTTTTTACACTACAGTTTTTTAAACTGGGCAACATTAACACCCCCTCCTTCAGAGTGCTGGCACTGTACTTCCCATCTCCAGGACTCTGAGTCAGCGCCTGCAGTTTCCTGAAACCCTTAATAAAATGTTACTTTGCTCACTCACTTCCAACAGCACGTCAAGTATTAACCCTTTGAGGGTCGGACAGGCCAATCTCCGAAACTCGTTCTCAGGGTCGGCCAACCAAATTTAAAAAAAAAATATTATTTTTTCTTATGAAATGATTGAGAATCATTTTCACCGATCTAAAGACACCAAAAGTTTGAAATTTGATAGAAAACTTACGGGGAATATGCTCTCGCCAAAGTTTTGCAGGTCTCGAACGATGTTTACGCATCGGCGATTTTGCCACTTTGAGCCCCAATTTTCGGCCAATTGCACTGTCCTAGTCGACAAAAATAAAATATGAATATTACGCTAGAATCATTTTTTTATCATGAATGGGTGGCAAGATAAACTCTCATGTATGAAATTCAACTATACAGTTTACAGTGGTCAGAATTTAGCAATTTGCCAATTTCACACAAATTTCAAAAGATCCCAATTTCGAATAGCGGTCAGAATAAAAAAAGAAAGAAAATTCCTGCGCACTAATGACATTTCCTATAGTCATTATTCACGTCTCTAGGCCCCCTCTTATATTCTTTTGCTTTCCATTTGAATGTTTAATTTTCACAAAAAATATATAAGATTACTGTTATGCAGACTACTGCATTAGTGTAAAAAATGGTTATAATATATTATTGGTGCACTTGTGAAAGAATATTAGACTCGTACCAGTTTGCGTGTATTGCACGCTTTGCACATTTGTTTACTTTTGAAGTTTGGGTAAAAATAGAACATTTTCTGCTACTTTGAGCTCAATTTACAAGGCACCTGTCTTGTAAAAAACAGTCAAAATCATCTCTTTTCTGTAATATGTCTTCCATTCTATAAAATCGAGAACCAGGAAAACTAGTACATACAACAATAAATACATACGTAATACACTGCAAAGTCAGCATGATTTATTAAAAACAAATTGGGTCATCTCAAAAGTTTTTTTTTTCTCATTATGGCACTGTGTGCTGACGGATTTTTTTTAGGACTGGCACACTGACAATCATAGACCCATTCTTTCATATGAAGGACCTACAGCTTTCTCCACTAGTATTGAGGCCACTAGAATTATGAGTACTTCGTAATCAAAAACCTCGGAAACGCGTATAAGAAGTATTAGTAACGACGAAAACCTCAAAGGGTTTTAAAACATTTGTCTCAATTCACTCCTACTCAAAATCGATCACGCATGCCCTGTGGAAGTCCAAGCACCTCGCTACACACAACATCCTTTACCCCCTCCCTCTAACCTTTCCTAGGCCGGACCCTCCCTGCCTTCCTTCACTACAGAATGATACACTCTTGATGTCATTCTGTTTCGCTCCATTCTCTCTACATGTCACGAACCACTCAACAACCCTTCTCAGCCCTTGGACACAGTTTTGGTAGTCCCGCACCTCCTCCTAACTTCCAAACTACGAATTCTTCTGCATTTATATTCACACCACACATTGCCCTCTGAGCATGACATCTCCACTGCCTCCGGCCATCTCCTCGCTGCAACATTCATCACCATGCTTCACCACCATTTATGAGCGTGGAAAAATATACTCTCATACATTCCTCTTTGCCTCCATGGACAAAGTTCTTTGTCTCACACAGACTCACCTAAGTGCACCACACACCCTGTTCCCCTCATAAGTTCTATGATTTCACCTCATCTTCACAGGGACCCATCGCTGACACGTCCACTCCCAAATATCTGATTTTTTTGACATTCACCTCTCCATACTCTCTACTCCATTCTCATATCCATTCTATTTATAACCTTATCTTTGTGTTATCCTCATACTCTTACTCTTTCCTGTATTCACTTTTAATTTCTTCTTTTGAATTACCCTACAAATTCATCCACCCAATCTCTGCAACTTTTCTCTTCACAATCTCCCAAGAGCACAGTGTCATCAGCAAAGAGCAGCTGTGACAACTCCACTTCTGTGTGATTCTTTATCTTTTAACTCCACGCCTCTGGCCATGGACACCTCGCATTTTACTTCTATTACAAACCCATCATCTATAAATATATTAAACAAACCACGGTGACATCACACATCGCTTGTCTAAGGCCTAATTTTACTGGGGTAGGAAATAATTTTCCTCCTTTACATACTCTTAAACTTGAGCCTCACTATCCTTGGTAAAACTCTTCACTGTCGCTTGCAGTATCTCCTCACCCTCCTACACATTACACCTGCAACTCTGCCCACATTGTCCCCACTAATCCACATGTCATACGCCTTCTTCTTCCAATTCCATTGAATGCCACAAAGAACCCTCTTTAGCCTTATCTTAATACCTGCTTCTCTTATTATGTTTCACTGTAAACACCTGGTCCACACACTCCCCCCTACCTTTCCTTAAAGGCTCATTGTTCATCTGCTATCGTATTCTCTGTCTTACTCTTATTCTTTCAATATAAATCTACATACACTTTACCAGGTATACTCAACAAGACTTATCCCCCTATAATTTTTGCACTACTCTTTTGTACCCTTTGCCTTTATACCATAGGAAACTATGATGCTCTCATGCCAATCCATGGGTACTTACCATCTTCCATACATTTATTAAATAATTGCACCAACCACTCCAAAACTATATCCCTCACTGCTTTTAACATTTCTATCTTTTTCCCATCAATCCCGGCTGCCTTATCCCCCTTTCATATTACCTACCTGCCTCACTAACTTTCCTACCACACTCACACACTGGCCCTTCTCACTCTAAAGGATGTTATTCCTCCTTTGCCCTATACACGAAAATCACAGCTTCCATATCTTCTTCAACATTTAAACACTTCCTCAAAATTACCTCCATCTTCCCAATACCTATAACTCTCCATTTAATAAACTCTCCTCTCTCTATTCTTAACTGACAAATCCATTTGTTCTCTAGTTCCTTAACTTGTTAAATCTCACTCAAAAAACTTTTTCTTATTTTCAACAAAATTTGTTGATAACATTATCTCCCCACTCTCTCATTTGATCTCTTTTTAACATTGCTTCACCCACTTCTTAACCTCTCTCTTTTTCTCCTATTTACTCTTCCCTCCTTGCTCCACCTTCTACTTTGTACTAAAACCTTCTACATATGTAACGCTTTTTATCCTTACTACTCTCTTTACATCTCTCATACCACCAATTGCTCCTCCCTCCTTACCCACACCATTTCCTGTAACCACAAACTTCTGCCTGAACACTTCTAACAACTACATTTTAAACCTACCCATACCTCTTCGAACCCCATTGCCTATGCTCTCATTAACCATTTATCCCCAATAGAGTGTTTATATCTTACCCTAAATACCTCCTCTTTTAGTTTATAAACTTCAACCTCTCTCTTCCCTGATGCTTCTATTCTCCTAGGTATCCCATCTACCTCTTTATCTCAGTGTAGTACAACTTGATAACGTTATTCTGATATATCTAGTGGCCCCTCTATTATAGCATGTACATCCTGATGTCTACTCAACGTCTTTTATCTAACCAATACATAATCCAACAAACTACTGTCATTTCCACCCTACATCATATCTTGTATATTATTTGATCCCTCTTTTTCATTAAATATGTATTACCTTTGACTAAACGCCCCTTTCTATACAAAGTTCAATTCTAAACGGGCTCCCATTATTCATTTACACCTGGCACCCAACTTACCTTTACAACCTCTCTACGTTTCTCCTACTTTAGCATTCAGGTTCCCCTACCACAATTACTCTTCACCTTGGTTCAATGGATCCTGTACATTCATTTAAATCTCCCCACAAATCTCTCTCTTCCTCTACATTCCTCTCTTCTCCAGGCATACTCGCTTATTATGACCCCCTTTTTCGCATCCAACCTTTTACTTAAGCACTTAATTCTTGAATTTACACATTCCATATTCTCTTTTCTCCTTCCATTAACTGATTCCTTCAAACATTACTGCTACCCCTTCCTTTGCTCTAATCTCTCAGATACTCCAGGATTTTTTCCCATTTATTCCCCCACTGGAAACTACCTACCCCCTTCCAGCTTATGTTTTGCTTAGGGGCCAGGGACATCCACAATCTTCTTTTCATTCTATAAACATCAGCATATCATCTGTTTTCTTGTCATCGCATCTACATAACGCACATTCAAAGCATCCCAGTTTTATAAGTTTTTCTTACTTCTCTTTTTTAGTAAGAATGTCTATGGTGAAGGGGTTACTAAGCCTTTGCTCCCGGCATTTTTGTCGCTACTCATACGACACGCCATTGGCTTACGGAGGAAAGATTCTTTCACTTCCCCATGGACAATAGAGAAATAAAGATGTTCAAGAGCTATTTAGAAAAACAAGGAGAGAAAAACCTAGATTTTTTTTTTTTTTTTTTGTTTTAAACAAGTCGGTCGTCTCCACCGAGGCAGGGTGTACCCAAAAAGAAGAAATCCCCAAAAAGAAAATACTTCATCATCATTCAACACTTTCACCCACTCACCACATATCACTGCTTTGCTGAGTGTGCTCAGATTTCAACATTTTAGAAGCTTATTAATATAAGATACAAACTATCCCTCCAACTGCCAATATCCCAAACCAACTCCTTTAAAGTGCAGGCATTGTACTTCCCATTTCCAGGACTCTAGTCGACTATTTGAAAAATAACCTGGATGTATGTATATATTAATGCATGTGCGTGTCTGTGAAGTGTGACCAGTGTAAAGTAGGAGTATCAAGATATTCTCTGTTATCTAGCCTGTTTATTGAG